AGCCTGTTGCATGTGCGTAAGGTCTCCCCGGCTGGCTAACCTTGTGTTTGGAGCCTGACCCAGCGCCGAGAGACATCAGGGCTAGATTCAGGTAAGTGACTGAACGGGTTTTAATCCCTTCCGCACCACTGGAGTTGGGGGTGCGAGGAAGATGGGTACTGTAGGAACCTATAGTGCTAGGAAAACGGCTTTGTTTTCCTGGCACTATAGAATCCCTTTAAATCTATTACTATTTTCCCCTGTACCCATGGTGCACCATTCTTACTTTTCTCTTCCTAATTATTTTCACATCATCCTATATCTGCCTGACGTTACCTATGAGTTTTGCAACGTTCTACAATGTACCACACAGCCTCCTTTCACAAAACAAGTTCCTTATTAGACGTTCTCTGATAACACACTCAGGCCAGGGCATGAGAGATCAGTGTGTGCTAAGCTTCTGACATAACTCTGTCCCTAAGCTAGCCACTGTCTACTTGTTGTCATTTGTCTCCTTTCCCTTTAGCATGGCTTTGAAATACTATGCAGATAATGAGTGGATGCGGATTGTCTGTGGGTGGAGTTAAGTCAACAACTCAGCTCAAACGAATCCCTGATTGGCTGAGCTATGCGGTTTTCCTTACGATCAGGAAAACATTTTGTGAAACAGGGTGGTGTGGTTACGGGTGGAGTTATGCTGCAGTACTTGCCACTGCAAGCTTGAAGGGTCTCCAAAACAGTAATTGCCTGCTGCACCACCCCCTTTAAGCTGTTAATACGAAGCCAAAACCTATGGAATGTATTTATTAAGGTTGGAGACTATTCCTTTGATTCTATTATCATCACTCAATTTCTCCTTTACTGTATCTAGCATTTCAGAGAGTCCTATAAAACCTGTTGATGAGGGATAATGTTGGCCACTGTTTATGACTAAGTGGTTACTAAGGACTGGATATACCTCATTTTCAATACCCTGGGAAGTCGACTTTTGCATATGGTAGACCATGATGGGTGTAATGCTCATTCCTGGGCTGCCATAGGGTCTCAAATACAACATAACCAATCTGGAACATTTCAATGTGTAAAGACAAACAGGCAAGCCTTATATTTAACCCTGTAACGTTCCAAAACACCATAAACCTGCACATCACTGTACTCGTGGGACATCACAGCATACAAATATGTGTATTTTATAGCAGTAAAAGCCAACACTATTAAGACATTCACAGTTAAAAATATGCTGAATTTGGAACATTCTCACACTCAGGAGTACCCCCAAAGTAAGAAGTCAAACCGTTTTAGAATGGGTGCTACTCCCTGACTTAGCTACTTCTTATGCAGAGCAAGAATCTCCATCTGAGCTAATGCCGGTGGTGCAGGGCTAAGCTCATGAGAGCAAAAGGAGGGTCCTGCTTATGAACATCCGGCTCTCCATAGGAAGTAGTGGAAGTGGGGAGAGGCGCATGGTGGGCACAAGGTATGTAGTATGTACCATTCTAAAACTGTTTGACTATTTAAATTTGGGGGGCTCCAGGGTACTCCTAGCATCATAACAGCATGCTGCAGTGGTTATGGTTCTTGGAGTTTTCTTTTAACTCCAAGTCAAAGCCACCACTCACAGATGCT